AAACATATTCTATACGTTGAGTTATGTCCCCCCTCGTTTGCCCCGGGGCAAGTATTGACACACTAAGTAAATTTGGGGTTTTAAAGTGCATGCTAATATGCAAGAAGAGTTCAGCGCCTGCAGGTTTCTCTGAAACCCTGACGTTCATGCAGAACCGTGAAGGATCCACACACACACGGTTTCCCCCTGATGCAAATGATCCATCTTTCCTCGTTAGATGACGATCATCACAATGATGGAATAGAGAAGTCAGTTTTAAGTATGTTCAAAATGTGATTATCTGTGATTAATGCTTGACTAAGTCCTTTGCCGTTTGCTCCACAGCGGTGTGGACTTCCACCCCACGTCCAACAGCCTGATCCACGGCACCCACGTCCCCTCAAAGGATGGCATTGACCGCATGGTGGATGATGTTGAGAAACAGTAAGTCACACTCAAATCATCGTCTCCTGACCCTGCGCTAAATTCATCTCACTCAGCCTGCCTGTACATAAGGCAGGTCATTAGTTCGTAAACTATCCCTCCATAGAATCCCCTCCATGACTTTATGTAAAACATGTTTAGGCTCAACCCTTAAAAATAAAATGGCCTATTAAAAGACTAAATATTCCAGTTATTGATAGAAAAGTGCAGATGTGTATGTATGCTATTTAAAAGGATATTAAATGCATTCACATACAAACAGGATGCATTAAAACTCATTTACTCAACATCCCAATAGAAGCTCTGAAAAAGCTTGATGGCGAGGACTGAATAAATGAACATTATACGGCAACAAGGGCAAAAAACCCTGCTAATTATGATTGGCTTTAGCAATTCTACCAAATTAATTATTTCCGAACCTCTGATAGACAGTGGGTACATTCAGAGCCTTGTTCCCGGCACTGGTACACCGCAAACGTGGCGTGGAGTCTGGAAATATGAGAAGATCAGTCATAAGAGATGATGTGTGGAAGGAATGAATTTGTGACCTCTGTCAATTTGTGAATAAGGGCCTGTGTGATGTGAGGGTGGAAATACCTTCAACAGAATAACTCTCAGGATAGAGCCAAATGTACTGAATTGAGTGTTCTGGTAACTGTGAGTAAGCTTTATGGAACTCGCTACAAAGTCAGAACACTGATCAATTTAACCAATTGGGCGTACAACACGAAATGTCTGCCTTAGTTTTCTGTTACTTTTGTCTTTGTAGCAAGTCCTTTTCACCTTGTTGTTACCCCAGTCCTCTTCAGTTGTTGTGTATTGAAGACAGCCCCAGGCTCATGTAGAGATGCGACTGTGGGGCATTAGACAAGGGGTTCAGTTGCCAGGGAATGACGCACAACAATGCTTTGAAGAACCAAGAGCTCACAAATTGACAGCATTTTCCTCCAAGTATGCGTGTTTGGTTTTCCATTGCCACTCTCCATGCCAAATTCAAACGCACAACCCCCCCCCCAAAAAATAATTGCCTGCAGCCAATTATCGTTATTGGATATGCCATGGATAGTGGCCACACTGGTTTGTGAAATCCTGCCTAAGCTGCTTTTATTTGCCCACGTCAGGATCGAGAAGCGGGCCAAGTACAGCAGACGCAGGGCCTACAACGACGACGCGGACATCGACTACATCAACGAGAGGAACGCCAAGTTCAACAAGAAGGCGGAGCGCTTCTACGGCAAATACACAGCGGAGATCAAACAAAACCTGGAGAGAGGCACAGCCGTCTAGAAGCTTCAGCAGCCATAGTCTGGAGGCTTGGGTGCATTTTTTTTTCATGTATTACAAGCCATCAATACTCGTTGTTATATCATTGCTAGAGCTGAGAAAGAATGAATGTGATGTGTGGTGGTCCTTTGTACAGTATGGGGGTGAAAACAGCTGTTATGATTAATCTTTTTATTTTTAAATAAACCACTGACAGTTATCTCGCACACTTGTTTGTTTTTCTGTGGGTTCCTGCGTGTGGTCGCGTGGTGGGGGGGGGGGGGGGGGGGGGTTTGGAGCGTGAGAATGAACCACCATTAAGTAGCTACCATCAGACCTCGGGGCACATTAACACGGCGATGCCAGCCAACAGAATGTTTCGGTGTTGGTCCAAATAGAGTGATAAAGACCAACAATTGAGCAATTGAATTTATTCATTATCGTCTACATCTCTGACTAACTGGCCCCGAGCTGAACATGAGCAGGAAGCCTTGTGACTGCAGGAGAGATGAGACAACAGCAGGTTCCCATGCCAGGCCCCCAGTCTGTGTGAAAACACCAGCAATGCCCTCTGCAGGGAACACAGCCATGGCTTTGTGTAGTCATACCAGTATCAAATTGAATCTTTATTTTCTCCTGCATCTAATCTTGATGAATCAAGCCTCCCAGAATACATTTGAAGGATGCCCTCAAAGGGGGCTTCGCAAAGACGCCATGACACACGTTGTTTATGTTCTAATGATGAAAGGTAGAGGTGCCTTTAAATGTCTTTGATATCTGACTATACTACAGTTAGTGATTACATTTTCAGATTTATTATTGGGATATTTTTTTGTAGTTTTATCTGATTAGCTAGAGGACGTTGGCTGGGAATCATGTAAATTAACTTTTTAGATAATATGACACCTTTGATTCTTTCAAGGCCAAGTAAAGTAAAGCAACATGGGTATGATTTAAAGCCTGGTAAACAGCAATGAGTTTAATCGGGGAGTTTTCCGTAGACATAAAAGTCTGCAAGCAATAAACTGGCACCAAATCTTATTTAAAAAATAGAATAAGCAAATCATATGACATATTCATCAGTTCTATAAGTATGACTATTATACATTGCAAGAAATACAAATGTTTTCTTAAAGGTGCTCTATTTTGCTAGTTCATATTTGTATTTTGTGCCTCTACTGTGACGTGTTTTCACGCTCAAAAAGGTTTTTATTTTTCTCATACTGCAACATCTCTTTTCACCCTCTGTCTGAAACCAGAGCCCACGTTGGTGTGGTTACACAACAGGGATGTCTTGGTCTTTAGTTGTCTGAGTGTTGGGGGGTCTACCAGGGGCCGTGCTAGTTGTAAAGTCTGACCTGCGGTATCTCTCCGTGAGACAGCGGGGATGCAGTGAGGACAGGGTGTCCTGGAGGGGGTGGGACATATTATCCAGCAGGGAGGACAGCTTGTCTGCCATTCTCCTGTCTCCCACCACCTCCACAGTGTCCAGAGGACTCCCCAGGACAGAGCTGGCCATCTTAACCAGGCTGTTCAGGCGCTTCCTGCTCCAGCAGACCACACCAAAAAAGATGGCTGATGCGCCCTTGTGATTGGTCAACTGCTTAGAGATGTCCCGCCCCTGAGCATATCATGTACAATGTGTTGGAGAGCTAGCCAATAGAAGCACAAGTGTTATGTAGTGATGTCAATATATAACAGAAGTAAACAAAGGACTACAATTGATGCCTTTAGCAGAGGGGGGAGACTCCCTCTGGAGGGGACTTTTGGATTTTAGCCTTTGCATTTAGAAAAACCTATATATTACACACTACAGGAAAGGAAAAACACAAACAATAGGGCTCCTTTAAAACTAGACACTACTCTGCTTTTCTTGTGTGCTTTTCAATGATACTGGCATATAACAAGTCAACTGGGCCTGCGCTTGTTCTTACATACTGCTCCAGCTCCTTTGAGACTCTGTTATGTATTTGCATGTCTTATCTCTAATCAAAGCAAGGAATCAGAATAACAGGTGAGTTGTACAGCAGGAGACACGCAGTCTGGCTGTCAGACATCATAAAACGGTGTGATTTTACCTTTTTATTACAACAGATTGTGACATGTATCTAAATATCAGCTTGGAAAATCTCAAGAGCAGTACAATTTATTACTCACTTTACAGATCGCTATCTAATCCAATAGATACCTTCTGGCAATAATACATCTGTAGTTTTAATATGTGCCAGGAACTAATCAAATCTAAAATACACACACACTTAACAGCCGCCTGAACAGCACGATGTATCAAGAAGGAACATGTTCACATCATGTGAGCAGACAGATGATCACCAAACATGAATAACCATCAACTGATTCCCCTAACATAAAGAAAAGATCGCTGAGAGCCTGTAATTCCTCGATTGTGATCACTATACCATGGCCCTAAAGCTAATGGGATTCAGCCATCAATACAGTGAATGATTATTTTTACAGTTGCTTTAAGATGTCTAAGTAAATACATTTGAAAAAATATCTGAATCATAGACATGACTTCATAAATAAACAATGATATAAAAAAGTGAAATCTCCATATAGGGGATAAAGATATTAAATATTGAAAACGATGTGTGTTCACTTTTGTCTTAATGGTTTTATTTATGCACAAACTGAATCAAAATGTCTGTACATAAAACAAGTTGAGTTTGTTTAAACGTGTGTTCTGTAACAGGTGTATGGATACCTTGGTTTTATGTAAATTAGGAAACACCGCATCAACTAACCTGATACTTAAACTGAATTGCCACGCATATTGAAACCCCTAAAAAAACCCAGATATGGTGGTGATTCCACGGTCTCGAACCAGGCGACTGCATCAACACTCATCCCAGTGACAGACAACTCTGTGGTAATACTGCCCCCGTGTGGTCACTGATCAGTACTGCAACCCTCAAGCTGCACAGTAGGATAATGGCCTTTGAATGAATCACAGGGTGCCGCCATATTCTGTGTAGCGTTTGTACCTGTAATGTTTGATAGCTGCTTATAACCAGGCTACTCTGGTTTGAGTTCTTTTGTGGATATGTTTCTTTTTCTTTTAAGAAGACTTAAAGACACAGGCCTATCCCACTATAAATGGTTTTTATACCCTACTTACATACTCGTGTAACTGATTTGTAAGAGGTAAGTTATTTTCCAGTATGGATAAATAACCTTTATGGTATTTGTCAATACAAAAAAAATGATTTTAGTCAATGCTGGAAAAACTCCAAATTCAAGCTCTTCATTTAAAGGTCACTGATTGCAGTTCATAGATGTATGAGACAACAGACAAACACTTTGTAATCAAATAAATATCTTTATTGAAAAAAAAGCACAATATACAACAAAGGGAAAAAAATATCCCACCTGAATGAATTTCTTCAGTTGTTCCCACTTTACTCTTTCAACATCTGAAAAAAAATTGCGACCATAATATGTTGAAGCATATGTACAAATCATGTGCAGTATTTACAGGGTCCATGCACTCTGACACACTAGTGTGTAGTAGAGAATGTGTGTTTGCGCGCGTTCATAGATTTGCCTGATTTGACCCGAACCCAGTGACCGTAGGGCTTCCTGCTGTCAAAGCTGTCCACTCTGGAGGTTACCTTAGCTCCAGACTGAGCCGCCAGTGTGGGCTTCACCAAAGAGTTCTAAGGAGGGAGAAGATGGGAGAGAAAAAAGACATCAGACAAACTGAATAATGAAGAGCAGGCTTTGTCTTTTAACAGTTTGGGGAAAACAGGAGGAAGCTGCTAACTTAAAGTCACTTACATTAATGCTGAAAGAGATAGTTTTCCTTTTTGGGGACATCCTGGGGCTGAATACATCATCAGACTCCTCCTCATCGCTCTGTTTCAGAAAGACAAGAAAACCACACCTAGTTAGATATGTGTGTGAAACTGATGGTAGGGTGGCTCTGACAGTTTGTAAACTTCATATAGATGTGTTATAGTCCCCATTGTCAAATTGTGAAGCACTTCTATTGCATGTTAATTATTTAAGTGTTAACTTCAACACTTAAAAAACCCCATCCCACTGTTGTCAAAGACTCGGCTCGAGCATTAACTGAATCCTACTAAAGTCAGACCTTGAAACATAATAAAACAATCAAATGAAAGAGAAAAGGATCAAGTAAAAAGGGATGTCTTCTCTGTCTACATTGGCTGAATGGTGGTGACGTAGGTTTCCCAGCTCAGCACACGGCTGGTGAACCAACTTATCTTTGGCATACGGAGTGGAGTTCTTCATCTGTTTCTAGCTCTCGACAGGGATAGTCACTATAATGCGGTCCACACGCCTTTGCTCCATCAGCGAGTGAAGGATTCTGCTAAATAACAACGACCCATTTCAACTGCAAGCATAAATACATTGGAAATTTCAAAATTTGAAAGTGGAGTCAGTGTAATATAATGTATGAATTTCTTGAGCATCATATATGTGTATAGTTAGCATTTGTATGGACTTTGTACATGCCTGATTGTGAGGTAATCTACATATGTGTTTGTTTAACTGCAGGCCTCTAGTTGATAAACTTACACATCGTGGAAATTATAAAGGAGGTATCAGATAAACTTTCACGCAAACATATTGTTGTCACCCAAGTCACATGACAGCCCTTTACTCCCAGGTGCCGATGAGTGAAGGAGACCACTGTCATGTTATCTATGAAGACAGGAATAAATACAGAGAGCATGTGTATTCCCTCAGGGGTCCAAGCACACAAGACAGGAAATTCAACACAACATTGACCTCAAGATAAACAACTGTAGACGTTAGACTGTATCTTTGATTAAAAAAAATGATGCAACGGCTAAGATCAGCTTATATTATGAAAATATTAAGTCATCCTGTACAGCTTAAGATCTATGATTAATATTAAGCATGTGGTAAAGATTGATTATGCACAAGTTGAAAGATTGTTGGCTATCCCTAAATTCTCAACACCCCTTACCTTTTATTTAGGTGTAGTCCATGATGAAAAAAAACATGTTTGCCTTTATTAAGAATCTGTACACAGCTTAATTTTTGTATTGTGTTTTGTGATAAACATGACAGAAATGCACCCACCTGTGACTCAGTCTTTTCAGGGTCTTGTCTCACCCATGTATCTATGGACACCCGTTTGAACTCAACCGACTCCTCGGACAGGACTGGTTCCACACTCTCAGGAAGTTCCTCCTTCTCCACTCCTAGGATTGTCGTTGCAATGGCCTGTGCAGCTCTGACCAGTTCTCCTTTGTCTGGGGAACACAACATGTGCATACGATTTAATCAGTTGTACAAATCAATATTGAAGTAGTTACCATTTCCTTATTTTAGAGAATCAATTTACCATCCAATCTCAGGTTGACGGAATCCTCTGAAGATCCAGATCTTGAGCTGCCGCTGTGGGTTCTGGGTTGGGATTTGGAAGAGGGGCTCGCAGCCCTCTTGTTCTTGTTCCTGTGGCTGGAGGACCTGGAGCCGGCCCTGTCGCGACGTGGTGGGGCTTGGCGGCTACGGTCATTTCTGCGATGGTTGTCACAGCGACAACGGGAAGAAGGTCTGTGGCATCGGGGGTGAGAGCGGGACCTGGAATGAGACGAGGAGCTGCTGCTGCTGGAGGATGATCTGTAGCGCCTCCTGCGGCTGACACGGCCCTTGGAGCGGCCGGAGCCAGAGGTAGGTTTGCTGCCACTGTTGCTCCTGGATCGGGAGCGAGAAGGGACCGGGCTACTCTGGTCAAAGATGACTTTGATGCCATCAATTTGACGATCGTAGGCCATTTTAGAGTGTGCGACTTCTCCCTTGGCCATTGTTTATGTGTACTGCCACAAGCTGTGAAATAAAACATACACACATATGAATACGTTTCTTTTAACTAGCTTTCAAAAAGCTATGTTCGAAGTATTAATAACTGGCGTTATCAGATATTTGAGCAAAGTAATATTATTTAAATATGCCTATGTCAAAACATGGCGAGCAGATAGACGGAACTGCAATGGCGGAGATGAGGCCTACTGGAAAATTCCAGAATGACGCAAGCTAAAGATAGCTTAAGCTAACAGCTGCTGTAACTACAAACCAGACCATGTCAAATTCATTCGCCTGTGATTTGATAACAAGTTTAACACATACATGAAATGACATTTCAACGTAATATTACATTTAAAGCAGCGGATGCAAGTACATCTGGATTGGCCAAACAAAATGAGCCATGCTAGCGGACGGAAGTTAGTAGTAAGGTCTTACCGTGTAGATTGTAGCTTTGTTCTGGTGGTAACGTCGATGTAAACGATTCAAGGCAAGTAAATAACCTTCAAAACGTATATCAAGACGATATATTACGAATATTAATCAAATATGTGAGTTTGTAGCCGTTTATTAGCAAAAGCGAAGTCGATGTCTCTTCGTCGGGGTTGATCCGTCTGTCGTCGTCGCTTGTTTTGTAACTAGTGTTGCTGTGGGCGCAGAGCTACTTTTGAAGCCTATGGAAAATTCCAGTCACGTGACGCCCATAGCGGTTCAAAACTCATGAACGAAAGGAGTTGATTCTCTGTCTGTGGGCCAACGTTTTTCCTCCTTGTGCCCTTATTACTAATGTTTTATCAACCTGAATTCGAGATGAAAGAAGGCGATTTATTTCAGTTCGTTCAGACTATGATACAATAAAAAAATAATCCAATTATGTTGTCCTAGCTGCAAAACAACATAGAAGCAACAATGTTTGAATCCACCTTGACAAAGATATGGGGTGAAATGCAACATTTTATTATACATGCCACAAATTATAGATACATACAAATATACCATGCCGTGTCTGTTATTCAAAGCCTTCATTTAGAATCACCTTTAATGAGAAAAGTACACATTCAGGGGATTTGACTTATTCTTATTATATTCATATTTCTCAATTTAGACTACTTGCAAGGCTTTGTCAAGAACAATGTCAACAAAGCTAGACAAATAAAGGTAAAGAAAAGACTGGATAAATATGGACACAAACATCAGAAAATAGTTGTAAATATATTACAACTAACAGAAGATTTTGAGTAAGCTATTTAACATGCTTATTGTTTTGTTAACTAATCTTTAATTTGCTGACTTTGTTTCAGGAATGCAGTTATGTAATCCTATAACAAACAATCAATTCAGTGCGCATTATTATGGGAAAGCAACAAGAATAAAACGCAGTATTATGGTGGTGTTGCCTTTTAAATGTAACCTCGCTCTGTAATCTCGCGATTTTGTATGTAACCTCGAATCTGTTAACTAATCTGCTTCCTGTTCCAATCCTGCCCACTGACTCCTCAGTTGCCTATACACTGATCCCTGATTTGCACGTTGCAGTCTTTTGAAAACTTGAAACAGGCAAACGTATCGAGCAGAAATGGATATGCTAACTGTGCTACCGTCCAACTTTGGATATGCCATATTTACATACCTCTACAGCTGGATCATGCTGGGGTATTTAGCAGTCAAGGTTGGGGGTGCGAGGAAGACATTCGATGTTAAGGTAGATAAATATAACTTTAAATAATGAAAACAGGTTGCAAAGTTCTGTGGACGCTAATGCTTTTATTGGATGTGTTTTCCTTTTTTGTTTCTAGCTTTAATATGACATGTTTAATCTCTCTATTTTGCAGTATCCCACTATGTACAGTGACAAACATCAGGTATTCAACTGCATCCAGAGAGCCCATCAGAACACCCTGGAGGTGTATGCTCAGTGGCTGGTTTTCCAGACCATTGCAGCCCTTGTGTATCCGGTATGTGTATCCTGCTTTTATCCTGCATACACACAAAATACTTTGTTGTTGATGTCTATAATATTTATTAAATAATATGAGAGCTCAGAAGTGGATTTTAAGGACTACTTAAAGTGTTACAAAACAAAAATGTGTAGGAGGGTGGGGCAGGCAATCCTCATGAACTCTGGCATCTATTCTCCAGATAATAAAGATAGCATGGGGACAGTGTCACAGTGACTCAGCATATTTCCATTACACTGCATCACCCCTGTATTTCCTAAACTGTTTATAATTCTGGTTTTCTGTTTGTTCATAATCCCAGTTGTCAGCGGCTGTTCTGGGGGCTATTTGGGTGACCAGCAGGTTCTCCTATGCCTGGGGCTACTACACAGGAGGTAAGACTGATATAATGGAGGGCAAAAGCACCAAACCTCATTTTTTGTTTTTTGTCCGAAAGATGTTGCACACATTTTAATGCTGGCAAAACGCATTAAAAACACACACTACCAATAATATAAATATATATCATAGTATATGGGTCAAAGTTATATGCACATATAGACATTGAAGGAATATAGGCAGGTTATACAATTACATCAATACTGAGTGATGTCTATCCTGTTGAACTCATCAAAATGTATCTATATTTGCAAAAAAAATACTCAAAACATTAGTGGTGTAAAGACTAATTACCCCCCCCCCCCCTGCCCCCAGTTTTGTTTAATCATTCACAGAAGATAGCATTGAGAAAAAGATAATAGCAACTAAGACATGCATGGTGTCTAAAATATTGCAATTATTTAAGTAGTTTTAAAACAAGTAATGCAAGTTGGATTTCATTCCACTTTAGATAAGATTAGATGTACGTGAAAGGATTTTATTTTGTCACAGCAGCATGTTGACAAGTATTACACATGAATTAAAAATAGAATGAAATATAAATCTAAACAAAAATTACAATATACAGAATAAGGTAGAATACTCTATAATATACCAGTTTACTGCTAGAACAAAAATAAATAGGCATAGTATATTATATACATTATTTAAATGAAATGTTATAAAAGTGATAATTTAATGTAGGCTATTCTCAACAGAATAGTGTTCATTGTTGTTTCATATAGTTCTACTTTGAATGTTAACATTGTTCTGTTTTATGTTTTATTTCAGATCCATCCAAGAGGATGTACGGAGCCTACGGCTACATTGGATACTTTGGCGTCATCTTCCTGTCCATATCTGTAGCCCTGCAGTTGCTTGGAGTCTATTAAGACAATTGTCATCTTGTTTACTCATTTTTACTGACTTGCATGACACTTCAAATGTATCAACTATAAACAGCAGTACAATTCATAATAATCTCAAATTGTAATGCGTTAGATATTTTTGTATGGACCACTAGCTTGATACTATCTCTGTAATGCAATTATGTTTTTCAATGTCTACTCCATGTGACCATCAACAATAAAGTAGATTCTGATCCAAACAGACCCAGATACTGTAAGTCTTCTTTAGTATCCTGTTCACAGTTAGTTAGCATTAGAGTTGGGAATTAAGAAAGGGATCTGCAGCCTGCACGAAGGCCCCATGTGACTCCCACATGATGTGCCAATCTCACTGCAAATGGTTTATGGGGGGGGGTTACCTTGGTTGGTTATTGGCTAATGGTGGCCAACATCTGATCAGCTCATTTTCAGACAGGTTTTTATATCTGTCTGAAATATGGATAAATATATGATAAATGGATCAGGGCAAAAAGTGAGTGAATCTTTGTTCCTGAAACTTTCAGAGTCTCTTTACACAGAGGGGACACATGCTTATGTTTAAAAGACGTGAAAAAGTGAATTTTGCATAATAGGTGACCTTTAAGTTTTTTCCATTATGTATCTTAATTTAATTACAAATGTACTCTTGTATTACTTTTGGCTTCGAGTCCAGCTTGTCTTGCAGTATTATTAGAAGTGAATGTGAAAGTATCATCAAAATGCTTATTCACAGTGGTTCGTTCATAAACTAGTTCTAAACTTGTACTTCCTATACGAAACTTTTGTGCGGTAATTGTCCCTGCAGAAAATGAAGAAAATTACTCCAAAGTCGGATTGTATATCAAATCAAATCAAAGTTTATTTATAAAGCACATTTAAAAGCGATTTTTGGTCGGGCCAAAGTGCTGTACATGTAATAACTACAATCACATAAAAACACATTTCTACAATCACAATAAAAGACAATAAATTACAACAGATATTTATATAGTTTAGTGACTGTTTTTAACATACATAGCAGATAGCACATGTAATACTTTCTAAAACTGTTGTATTGCACTGTAAATGTTCAAACGGTAGACGATAAATTGTTTTATTTGTCATTACTTTTTAGCATCAACATACTTCGAGGTCATAATATCCACTCCCATTTGTTCATGTATTCGTTACAGTAAATCATCTATTAATGTCACAAAGTAGGCCTGCCTGATAGTCTACTTTTAAAATATTTTTAAATGGCTTGTAATGTTACCATATTCCCACGTTGTCCACAACACCTGAACGCACCAGTATCAACAGCGTCTCAGATCAGACGTGCATGAACTGCGCATGTGCATGACCGAGCTGTATCGGAAGCACAAATCGGGCTTAACCAGGGGGTTCAACTCAACAAAAACGAAAATAAAAGGTAAGAATTCCTTTGAAAATGGCACTACAAACAAGTAATGACCCCGGGGTGTGTTTTTACGCTCAGTACTACTATTGTCGTTTGAGTTATTCTATTATATTTTTTAGCAACTTCGTAGCGAGAAGAAACCTTCAAGGAAATGTTTGCTAATGCCAAAGCGATGAACAAAAGAACCCGTGGACACAGCCCTGTTTGTATCTGGTCTAGACATATATATATATATATATATAGTAGTTTTTGGTACAAGTACTGGATACATTGTCAGCCTTGGTGTCGAATAGATTACCGAGTTAAGTGTACAAATACTTAGTGATAGTTGGTGCTTGGTATATAAACCAGGGAGTTGAGCATCATAGTAACGTACTGCGGTTGCGCACAAACATTGTTTTTCCGTTCTAATAACAATTGGTTGGTGAATTCCATTTGGCTGGTATACATAACAAACTGTTGGGGTATCGAAACGACTGAGTATTTCCGTAAACTGTTGATGTTGTTTTCACTTTAAAGCATTTTGACCTTACTCCCTTTCCCAGAGTCATGTCAGGTTTTCTGGACGGAATCCGGTGCGGAGACTGCGAGTGCAATGTGGACTGGGGGGAGAGAAGAAACGCCATCGCTTCTGTAGCTGCTGGAGTTCTGGTATACATGAGCTTCTCAATAACGAGCAAACAAACTAACTACGGAGATGAAAGTGCAAGGCCTTCCTGTTCTTTGTTTGCATCTGGCTCCTAGCATTTAGTATATGTAGAGCAGTGGTGTAAAGTAACAAAAGATGTCAACTAACTTAAGTTAGTACAATTTTGAGGTACTTTTACTCCACTGCATTTATTTAGTAACTTTGTAGATTTAGTTTAGCTATGTGAAATATAATCAACACTTAAATCAGACTTTAGCAACACCTAGAGAACATCTACCAGCTACCCTGCACCATACTAGTAATTAAACTAGCTGCACCTTTACCAGCTTTGATTAGACTCTCTTGCAACATATCATGCATATTATTCTGAAATGGACCAATCTGCATAATTAGTACTTCTAC